TATAAGAGTGGGTGGGCTTTTATAAGCACAGAAAGAGCCTTACTTTCCCATGCTCAGTCTTAAAAAAAAGTAATTTCAAGGCAGAAGACAAAGAAAATTTATTCTTCTAGACCAGTGGTCAGCAATTTTTTTTCTATAAGTAAACCAGGTAGTAAATATTTTGGGCTTTGTGTGCCATATGGTCTCTGTCATTACTACTCAACTGGTGTTATAGCACAAAAAACAGCCATGGATGAATGTAAATGAATGGACATGGCTGTGTTCCAATAAAACTTTATTTATGGACACTGAAATTTAAATTTCATGCAATTTTCCCTTGTCATAAAACATTCTTCCTATGATTTCTTTTCAATTATCTGAAAACATAACCACCATTCGTAATTTTGGGTCATGTAAAACAGGGAGTGGGCTAGATTTGGCTTGCAAGCCACAGTTTGCCAATCCCTGCCCTAGACCCCCAAGGAAAATTTATGTTCATAATTATCATCACATGTGGTGGTCAGCTTGAAATACATTTAAGTATTTTAAATACTTAGTGTCTGTAGACATAAACACACATACACATACATTGTTGGTATTTCCACCATGAGATTTGGGAATAATTCCTCACCATTATTTATAAGAGTGGGTGGGCTTTTATAAGCACAGAAAGAGCCTTACTTTCCCATGCTCAGTCTAAAAAAAAAGTAATTTCAAGGCAAAGACAAAGAAAATTTATTCTTCTAGACCAGTGGTCAGCAATTTTTTTTCTATAAGTAAACCAGGTAGTAAATATTTTGGGCTTTGTGTGCCATATGGTCTCTGTCATTACTACTCAACTGGTGTTACAGCACAAAAACAGCCATGGATGAATGTAAATGAATGGACATGGCTGTGTTCCAATAAAACTTTATTTATGGACACTGAAATTTAAATTTCATGCAATTTTCCCTTGTCACAAAACATTCTTCCTATGATTTCTTTTCAATTATCTGAAAACATAACCACCATTCGTAATTTTGGGCCATGTAAACAGGGAGTGGGCTAGATTTGGCTTGCAAGTCACAGGTTGCCAATCCCTGCCCTAGACCCCTGTTATAAATTTAGATATTTTAATTTCCTCTCTCCTCCCATTCGTGATGCAAGTTAATATAGCAATGGCAGCAAGCAAGTCCAGTTTTAACTTACTGACTTTATCACCGGCCCCTCCCTTCTATTGGCACCGAGAGGACACACACTGTCTCACATCTGCACTGAACAATCAGTATGTGACCTGGACGTTTTGAGCGACATCCTTCCAGATTTTCCAAACGGCGTCAACTGGCCCACAAAAACTTTGACGACACGGGCCATGGTTTTGACCCCCGCCTCACCAGTCCCCTGAGCTCCTCTCCCGGTTGCACACGGGATGGCAGAGGCCAGATCCTGGCGGACTCTGCATGAATGGCCGGAGGAGGAGGTGGTGGTGCTGGGGTCTCTGCCAAGACCTCCATCTTTGCTGATCTGGACAGTATTCCTGCCAGAACAATGTCCTGTGACAGGTCATTGAAAGTACCATGTCTTGTGCTGTCGGCAAATTTAGACGGAGGAAAGCGAACCCAGGAGTAACATGGAGGGAATAATTCAAATCCTAAGACCTGGATTGGATTCCTTATCACGAGTCATTAACAAAAGTTTGCATCCTAATCCACATAAAATCCGTTGAAGGAAAAAATAAGTGCATTATACAATCAGAAAATGTTCCAATCCAAATAGTTGAAATGTTCACTGTTCTGTTATTTGAAATCCGTTATCTGGAGCATTTCAGCTATGCACAACTCACTGGGAGCAGGTTTGATCCAGCCCCATTTTACGGTAAAGGTGCCTTCTGGGAGCGCTGCACCGTCAGTCAGTGTAGAATTTGCAAGACTCATTTATGGCAGTTTGTGTGAGGTTAGATGCAACTGATTTCTATATAACACTATTTTTATTACCCCAAGAAAATTCTAACTAAATAAACCGACGTGTGAAATATAATTTCCCACCAGAATGACACTGGCCATCAGCCTCCTGGCCGGCAGTCATTTTCACATTACATAATTTAAGTTAATTGAATGAAAATATTCTAACATCTTGATGGTATTGCTAGACCTCAGCGGTTTCATTATAAGAAGGAAAAATAAGTTATTCACACAAGAAACACTGTTTAAGAAAACTTCATATAAAATGGTGATAATTAGTGAACATTAGGGTTTTTGATTCATTAAAGGTAACTCAATGATCACTTTTTTAAATAAATGGAACATTGACTTATTTTCATAAAGTTATTCTTATAGGTTGAAAAAAAATACCCTGAATATTTTTATACCCTGAAAGGTCACAAAGTGACAGTTATTTTTATATTACACTCATGGGTCTGGAAGGTCTTTCAGAATTGTTTGTAGGTTCCTACTTTCTGTTACGTACTATGGTAGGTGTTTGCCATGTGTTACCTTGTTTAATGGCCATAGGGATCCTATGAGAAGACTCAGAATATAAGTAACTTGCCCAAGACCACACAGCCAAATGTATCAGCTCCGCACTCATGTTCTCACCACCTCCAGAGTCTAAATCCATCCCCTGGGTGGTCTACTCATTCCCTGTGAGACTGCTACACAGTGAGAACAACAGGGAAAGATTTGATTAATCAATTGGTTGTTTTATTATATGATACAAAAATTCAAGTTGATTTCTTTTTCTTAATAAATAATCTTTTTTGTTTTTACTCAATTCACTAACACAATTTGAAATTTAATAAACTTAATAGTTTCTACCTGGAGAGTCCAGGCCCTACACAGGTCTTGAGTCACCTGGAAGACTTGCAATTAGCTAAAGAATCAGGCATCTTAATCAGCCCCTTCACAATGAACATTGCACACACCTTAGCCTGGCTGACAGTCTAAATGTGTTAGTGTTGGAGGGAGTGTCATTCCAAAGTTTCATCTTTTTTATTAAAAAGCTCCGATTTCAAGGGTCACAAGTGCATTAAGCTTTCATGTTTGGAGATTTTTTTCTGCAGTTAAAAAGATTTAGTAATAGACTAGTTATGTAGGATATTAAAATTGACTTTGTAGACTTCTTCTTTCATTCACACTTGTGTAACATTCAGCTCTCACTAAATATTACGGGTTTAAAAAGGATTGGCCCCTGGAGCCAACTCTTTACTGAGGAAGAAGAATAAATGCACTTCCAAGCAAGGGGATCTGATAGCATAGCTGTCAGAAATCATTCCGTCCTGGAAGAGGGCAGAGAACATTCTGTGAAAGGCCAGGATGTTGGCAATACTGGAGCTAGGGGTGTGTAGGGCACCTGAGAAGCGAGAGAGAGGGATGGAGACCTGTGTATACCATGCTAAGGAATTTTAATTTTATTCAGAGTGTGATGGGAAGCTAATAAGTGGTGTTTATCAGGAAAATGGCACAATGATATTTACATTTTTAAAAGGCCCCTCTAGTCTCTAAGCCCAGTGATGCTGTAGAGGATACATTAGAAGGTATGGAGTCAGAGAAATAGACTGGGTAGGTAGTTCTTGGGACCCCAAGAGAAATTACTTAGGCCCAGCTGAGGGATATATTTCAAAGTATATCTAGGATAACAGCCAGGCCATAGGAAAATCCATGTCCAGATACAAATCCATGTCCTCCATGGTGTGCTAAATGCTCTTCATGGTCCTCCAGTATGAAACAGGTAGGTCACATGAGACAGTTTTCTGTGAATTACTGGGATCATGCATTACTGGGGAAATTTTCAAGGTGAAGAAAAGAAAGCTTTAGCAGTAACCACAAGCAGAAGTCTTGAGTGAGCTGCAGTGAGAAAAGGTGGAGGACAGGGTAATGAGCAAGGATGCAGGCGGCCTCTACGAGCTAAAATGGCAAGCGGACAACTTTCCCCGGGAGCCCCAGAAGGAATGCAGCCCGATGACCCACTGGACACTTCTGATCTCCACAACCATTAGGTAATATATTCATGTTGCTTTAAGCTGCTAAATTCATGGTCTCTGATACAGCAGCAACAGGAAATGAATACACTATGAGAAGGAGCCAGGAAGTTGGGACAGTGAAGTTCTGCACAGATGCAATAATATTGCTTAATGTGCTCATGCCTAAGTTAAGTGAAGGCTGCCTGAAATACTATTTTAAAATCATGCTTTAGAGCCCAGCCAGTGTGGCCCAGTGGTTGAGCATTGACCCACAAACCAGGAGGTCACAGGTCAGGGCACATGCCCAGGTTTCGGGCTCCATCCCTAGTAGAGGGCGTGCAAGAGGCAGCCGATTGATGTTTCCATCTCTCTCTCCCTCTCTCTTCTCCTCTCTCTCTAATATATATAAAAACTATTTTTAAAAGAAATAAAAAATTATGTTTTATAACGTACGTAAGTCATTCTTTTTTTAAAGTATTGAATACCCTGTATACTGAAAAACTTACACACACAGTGAAGACAAAGGGCAGTGGGTTTGGGAAGACAATAATGAGGTGTTTTCTTCCCCCACGTAGTGCGTTTAAGATACTGATGGAACATCCAAGAAGAGGGTTCAGAAGGCAGAGGGAGGAATGGGGAGCTCAGGAAAGGTCTGGAATCCTCATCCTCCAGGGGTAATTGCCAAGCCCTGAGGTGAGTGTCAGTTAATGGGGGATGGAGAAACCCACAAAGGCAATTGAGGAGTGTGCTCCGGTGGAAGAGAACACAGAGAGAACAACTGACATGTTATTTAAATATTTAGTAACTTATGTACACACATTTTTAGGTTCATAGTGGTGTTATTCTCAAGAAACTCAGTGATAACTCTCCTGGCAAGGTGTTGGCCATATCAGATATACCAGGACCTGGTGGAGCTTACCGATCTTCCAGGGAGGCCCGGACTAGCTCTGCTTGGTTCCTCCCGAAACCGTAGCCACAGGCTCACAGAGGGAGAGGGAGACAGGGGTGCCCGGCACTCTGGTTGTCTGTTGTCTTGCTCCACTATAGCAGGACCCAGCCCCTTGGAAAGCACCCACTTGCTTACCTTTGACCAGTTGCATTTTATCTGCAGGGATCTAGCCACATCTGAGGTAGAGACTTCTTGATGAGACCAAAAAATCACTGTGAGAGCAGCCCTCTTCTCAAGTTTTCGGTAAATCACACCGTGAGGTCGTTTGCATTGCTGCTGTCCCGTCTGTCCTGTGTGTGACCAGGACTCCATGCTCCCGGAGCTGTCAGGCTCAGCTTTTCACAGCAAGGCCTTAGAACACATCCACTCTGTCTCACACCTGCAGCTGAAATAATGCGCATGGGAAATTATGGCAATTGCAACCAATGCTACAGAAAATAAAAGTAATTGGAGGTCAGGGAGAGCACTATTTACATATGGCACTCAAAAGAATATTTTACACTTTGGATATGCAGACCATATGGGGGAGGGGTTTGTTTGGCTTGGTTTTTTAAAAGCACACTGTGTGTTCCTTGTCATTTTCAGTCTGAACACACTGGGACTGCAAAAGGCAACGTCTGCTCTCTAAAGCAGTGATTTCACCCGGCGTGCCACAAGAGTTTTTAAAACATGCAATACCTGACTATTTAGTCGGGGGCACTGACTTCTTTTCCTTTAGATTATCAAATTTAAAAATGACAACAGCCAACACAGCTGTCCAGTGTGAATGGATCAAAATTATACCTTTTTTTTTTGGTCAGATCGGAAAAAAATATAATATATTTTTTGGTGTGCCACAGAATTTTAGTGATTAGTTTGTGTGCCCTGAGATGAAAAGGGTTGAAAATGGCTGCTCTAAAGCATCATGCCCGTGCTCCAAACATATACAAGACGTCCCTGGTTTTATAGGCACTGAATGTATTAATCTCTTAAGGGGAATGAATTAACAACTTGACTTCTTAGTGTTAACAAACATTTTAATAATGATAACCTTTAGGATATTACTCCTCCCTTATCTAAAATCATTCTCATTCCCTTTCTTTCAAGATCTGACCTAAGGAAAGGCTCTAACAGACTGACAGTAGGAACACAGACACTCATAATAAATAAATACGTATAAGCATGCTTTAACTATTGAATTATAATATTTGAAGTCACAAAATATATTTCCAGGGATTCCATTTTCTCCCTTAACCAGCACTTGAAACTAAGAATTGAATGTCATTTAGCATTGTCTATATAAACTCAGATAGGAAACAGTATGGTGCCATCTGTTGGTGAATTCTTGGGTATTGCTAGTCCTTTTCCTATTTCAGGATGTCGAGATCTCTTCACTCATTCCTTCAGTTATACTAAGCACTTAATACCTTGGCACTTGTATTCTATACCTAAGTCTGCAATTCCATCCACTTGTCCTGCAACACAGAAGATGTCCCAGTTATATGTTTAAGGGAACTGTATACAACCCATTGTTAGTCATTTTAGTAATCCTAAAAACAGATTCGGTAATCCTAGACCTCTTTGTTCACAACAATTTCATGGGCCAAATAAAACATAGGCCCAGCTGGCGTGGCTCAGTGGTTGAGCATTGACCTATGAACCAGGAGGTCACGGTTCGATTCCCGGTCAGGTCACATGCTAGGGTTGCAGGCTCGATCCCTGGGGTGGGGTGTACAGAAGGCAGTCAGTCAATGAATTGAATGTCATTTTGATAGAATTATTGATGTTTCTATCTTTCTATCTCTCTCCCTTCCTCTCTGAAATCAATACAAATAAAAAATTAAAAAACCATAGATTCTCATTTGCAATTGTTAGCATTCCTCAATTCTGAATTAAATAAAATTTAAATCATCCTGCTAGCCCACAGATATTTGCAAGATGATTTATTTATGTCAAAAAGCTTAGGAGGAATAAAAAGCTAGTAGCTACTATAAACATACCTTTCCCATTGAATAAAAAGAATCTTTCCTTGAGCCCCCATTCCTCAACAGCTCCATTATTCTGCTCTTCTGCACGGCAAAATTTCTTGAAGAAGTAAGTTGTTTTGATTTTTTATAATCGACTCCAATCAGCCTTTTATGCCCTCTACATGTGTACACACACACACACAACACACCCACCCACACACACACACACACACACACACACACACACACACGGAAACCATCAAGGTCACTACATAGCCATGTTGCTGATTCCAAAGTTCAATCCTCATGCTACCTTGTACTAACCTCTCCTCAGCCTCTAACATAGCCATGTGCTCCCTCTTTCTTAGTACCTTATTTCACGTGGTTTCTAGAACACCCACTCTCCTGGTTGTTCTCCCTCTAAGGTTGCCTCTTTTGAGGCTCTTCATGGAATCAGCCCTGTCTCCTAAACCTCTAAACCTTAGAGTAGCCCAAGGCTTCAGTCCCGAGACATTTCTCTTTTACTACACGCTCCTTTAGTCTAGCTAAGCATTATCCAGTAGAAATGTAAGGCAAGCCACATATGTAATATTTAGTCTTCTGGCAGCCACATTTTTTAAAGCAAAAAGAAACAGGTAAAATTAATTTTCATAACATATTTATTATGTCCATATATCCAAAATATTATCATCCCAAAGTGTAGTAAATATTAAAACTATTCATGAGTTATTTTACATTTTTGGGCCAAGACTTTGAAATACAAATGGCATATATTTTACACATTTAATACATGTCAATTCAAATGCTATATTTTTATGGGAAATGCTGGGTCTCCGTTTCCTAGGAAATGTCTGATTTTATAACGTCGATAGTTGAAAATGATACCTAAGCTTTTCCAAACATATTTAAGTTTTCAATAACTGAATCAAGTGTCAAATTTTAAATTTAAATTAATTAACATTAAATACAATTTTGTTCCTTAGTCCCATGAGCTACATTTCAAGTGCTCAATGGTCACATGTGGTTACTAGTAGTTACCACATTGTGAAGCACAGCTCAAGATGCTTCTGCTTATTTCATAGATTTAAATCACATTGATATGCCCCTAATTAGATCTGCAGTATGGAAGCCGCCCCTGACTGATGTATCCAAAAGCCTTTCAGCATTTTACTTAACTATCTAAGAGGCAAACCAAATTTAATACTTGGTTTTGTTTTGGCATCTCTCCCCACTTGGACCTACTCCTGTAGGGTGAAAACTAGAGGTCTTCATTGATTTCATTCTTTCTCTCACACCCCCACAACCACTCCGTCAAATTCCCTTTTAAGATTATATTCAGAATCTGACCATTTCCACCCCTTCCATCGGCCCGTAGTCAAGGCACCGTCCTCTCTCAGCGGGGCTGCTGCAGTGGCTTCTGACCAGACTCTCAACTTCTACCTTTTCCTCCGACAGTCCATCCTCCACACGGCACTACACAAATGCTTAAAGTGAAATTCAGATTATATCTCTTCTTGCCCCTCTTTTAACACCTTCGGGTCCTATAGGATCTGGCTGCCATCTTCCTCTCCACTCTGAACACCGCTCCCAGCCCACTCAGCTCTTGTCACACCTTCTCTATCCGGTTAGACCTGAGGTTCTAAGCTGTAACTCCTCCTCCGTGTTCATGTGGCTGGCTTCTTCACTCCAGCCCTGCTCACATGTCACCAGGCCATTGTATTCAAATAGCCCCCTTTCCCTCCCACCGCCACCTTCCGCTGCCACTTTATTTTTCCTCCTGGTGGCGGCCCACCATTGCTTGTGGTTCCGGCCCATGTGTGTTGGTTATCGTCTGGCTTTCCCTCTAGCGAATCAGGTCCGTGAGGGCAGAACCGGAAATGCTTCTGTTCCTCCGGAGACTCCCAGTTTCTGTTCCGAACATAAGGAGCTTGGACGTCATCACCCTGTTGTAACAACAAATAAAACTCTGAACAGACTGAAAAATCAACAACTCTTTGTGGCTACACAGAGCAGGAAGGACATAGAGCAAAAGCTGCCCCCAAGATTGGAGAGGCGGGCGGGCAAATACAGGCAGTTGTGGCTGAGCAGGGCAGAGACTCATGATGGGAAACCAGCATAGAACCCAGAGCCACAATTGCTGGAGGCTCAGTGCAGACACGTGCGAAGGTTATATCTCCGGGAGTAAAAATATATATTTTTTAAAAAGACAGAACTCATCACACAACTACAGAATGCTTCCTCTCCCTTTACACCTCACCACCATATTACCAAAGCCTATTTACAGCAGTTTCTTTTATTTGATACATCATGTCTGGCTATCAAGAGAAAATTACAAGGCATACCAAAGACAACAAGCAATTTAAAAAGACAGCACATCAGAACCGGATGTGGCAGGGATGTTGGAATTGTGACGGGAATTTAAAACAACTATGATTGATACACTAAGGGCTCTAATGGATAAAGTAGACTGCATGCAAGAACAGATGGACAATGTAAGCAGAGAGATGGAAATCCTAAGAAAGAACTAAAAAGAGATGCAGAGATGCAGAGATACTTTTTGTTCATCTGTTTACTTCTCATGGACTCTCTAGTCAGTGGTTCTCAACCTTCTGGCCCTTTAAATACAGTTCCTCATGTTGTGACCCAACCATAAAATTATTTTTGTTGCTACTTCCTAACTGTAATGTTGCTACTGTTGTGGGGTCGTTCGACCGCCAAAGGGGTCGCGACCCACAGGTTGAGAACCACTGCTCTAGATAAAGAACCGTGCCATCACTGAGGGAATACTTCTTCATGAGTAACATTTAAACAACACATCTATACAATAAAAGCCTAGGTGGCCCTTGCTCCCTCACACAATGCCCTCACGTCCTCACAAGATGGCCGCCCCCATGTTGTCACAAGATGGTTGCTATAAGATGGCTGGCAGAGGAGCAGTTAAGCATTAATTGTGCCGGCAGGGGAGTGGTTAGGGACAATCAGGCAGGCAGGCAGGCAGGCAGGCAGGTGAGTGATTAGGAGCCAGCAGGCCCGGATTGTGAGAGGGATGTCCAGTTGCCAATGGGATCAGACCTAAACCGGCAACTGGACATCCCCTGAGGTGTCCCAGATTGGAGAGGGTGCAGGCTGGGCTGAGGGACCCCCCCCCCCCAGTGCACAAATTTCATGCACCGGGCCTCTAGTATCATAATAACATGAATAACACTTTAAAATATGGTTCCCATTTTGAAGCATTTATCAGCATAAAG